CAATGCCTCAACGACAGTGTGACCAAGCTGAATGAAACCCTTAATATTTACATGGGAATACTGCAATACGTTCGAGGAATCGTTATGCGTCTGCTATGCTGTTTTTTTTTTTTGTTTTTTTTTTCTTTACAGGTTTGTTTAAAGAAAAGCCATGAAAGCTACACTTATGCGGTTTGTGCGAGTGAGTTATACGCCCAGGGGGACATTACCGGGGTGGCTATAATCTTCGCGATAAGTCGGCTAATTAATTAAAATTCGTTAATTATATTTTAATTAGTGAAAGTAGTCGTATGTTTCCAATTAGATATTTGCTGAGCGTCGTTCAAATCCCCTAGATCAGTAATTTTTGAAGGACTTTGAGCGCGTGAAAAGCGCAACAGTGTGCTGAAGTTACTACTCGTGGAGCAGGTACAAGGCTGGGGCTAGCTAAGAGACGGAAAAATCGCGCGGGCGCCTTACCGCAACCGCTAGCCTCGTGCTCCACAAGTCGTAACTTTATTGTACTACTACACTTCTCACGCGCTTAAAGTGTTTCTGAAAATGACTCATTTAATGGCTTTCGATAACACTTAGCAAGTTTTTAATTGGAACCATATGTCTATTTTCACTAATTAAAAAGTTAAACAATTTTAATTAATTAGCCGACTTATTGCAAAGATTAGCCACCCACATAATGTCGTCCTGGGCGTATAACTCACTCGCACAAACCGCATAAGTGTAGCTTTCATAGCTTTCTTTAAACAAATCTGTAAGAATAAAAAAAATCTTGTATATGTACAGTACTCAGCAAAGGAACACGCGACTGTATTACCTCCTAAGATTACATCAATCTATGATGTAGCGCACAAAATTGTTGCATTCAGCATTAACCGTTCGGCCACCGACAAGTTAGCACGTTTATGAGGTAATAACAGTTTGTGTGTTCCTACAAGTTTCGGAAACATCGCACATTGCCAAAGGAAAACAGTGTTTGAACTTCTTGACTTGTACCCTATACTGTAAACGACTTATTTTTCGCGGGCTCAATATTTCGCGATTGAGGTAAAAGTTGAAGATTTGGAATAATTCGCGGGTTCTAATTTTCGCGATGCGGCGGGATCCCAATATAGATTCCAATGTTTTTACATTTTACCAGAATCGTTCGCGGGACCTATTCTTTTTTTTTTTTTTAATTGTAGGCGATTTGGGAAAATTAGTATCTTTTGAAAAATAAGTCGCCTACAGTCTTCGAAATCTCCAATTCTGAGCCCAATTGGCTTTGCCGGAAATACGTTGAGGAGCACACCACCATTCAAAGGTATGCCAAACTGCTTAGGATGTTGGCAAGGACACGATAACAGATTAAGAACATAATTTATTGCTAATGGCCTTTTATGTCATTAACGCTGTCAAAAATTACTTATCAGTTATTGCTGCTTCCCAGACAAAAATAAATCGCCTATTTATTTCTTCACGAAATGCAATATCCACTTCACAATTCAACCACTTGAAGGAATTAGAACTGTCCATACGACACATTTTTCCAAAGTAAATTCACAGTGCACATTTTCATAACTGAAAGGCACATTCATAGTTACCTCTAAGCCAACTTCAACGCTGCTGGCAGCTCAGCAGGGTACTTTAGGCTGAGACAGCAGTATGTGGCGTACATCAGCTCCATTGCAGAGAGGAAGCTGACGCCTTCGAAGCACCTGGTGCCATCCAGTGGCAGTTGAAGATGCTTCTGCCTGAAAAAAAGTAGATCTTTTTAGACATAAAGGAACGCTGAACCAAACGTTTATGATTGCAATTGTGTTTGAGAGCATTAATACCTATGGCTTTTGGGAGTTATACTATTTTCAAACATGGCACACCTTTTCAGTTTTTATCTGGGGAGATTTTCAGTTTCTTCCGGTTAGCATGTATACCCATGAGTTTTATCACTTTATTCTGGTGATATGTATAGTATCTTCCTTTAATTCACAACGCAAAACCGCACTCTGTTGCGGTGAATGAACTTGATACGCGATGAAAACAAGTCAAATCCCATCCTCTAAAAAAAGAGAACTTGACACACAAAACCCAATTACAATTCACGAGCATGCTCATGAATGTGCGAGGCTGCATGCACAATGCGCGAGTCTGGTCGCATATTCACGAGCAAGCTCGTGATTTGCGAGGTTGGTTAGGTCATGATGGCGAAAATATTTGTTTGAGGGCTCTGCAGTAATTTGTATTGGCAGAGCAAAGCTCTGCCACTATGGCCAGGATTCGAGTCGTCCAATAAAAGAACGTTAGCGCGCGTCGTGCGTACAGCAACTTCCAGTAGAGCTGCACGACGTCGTGCGTGTAGCAATACTCTACATAAAAAGGGTGCCCTTCTCAGGCCATAAACGGGAGTTCACTCTGAGCATGCGCAGCGCTCAGAGAGCTCCAATGTGGCATCGAGTGAATACCACCTATTACATTAGAGGTTTCGACTCGACCGGGGTAATTTCGAAGTATATTCGTCTATCAGTAGCCCGAGTTATTTCGGAAATATCAGTCCCGAAAAAATGCCATCAATTTAGTCCACAAAACACCTGGAGTGACGGAGCATCCGCGGCGCGCACACGAGCATTAGCAAGACGATGATTGATTACTGGCACAGCGCGGATAAGTTTACTGGGCGACTCAAAATATCGCACGATAATGCGTAGCTATTTCTAAGATGCAAAAGCCTGCATTATTTCTCTGCATCAAGCAGGTGCCACCTTTATTTGACCGCATATTCGAAAAGCTGCCAAGAACGCTCACACGGTCGAGAAGCTGAGAAACGCAGTGCTCCGCTATGCCCTTCAGACGCATAAAAAAAAAAGTTAAAAAAAAGCCTCCTTTATCGAACGCTGTATTGAGAATATATTACGCTTTCGACCTTAGGAATATACTTCGTTCCTTAAAACATAAATGACCAATGTTCACGTCTTCTAACCCGATCTTCCCTCATTCTCCAATTGCCCCATCCCCCTCCCCGATCAAGCGCTGAACTTTGAACCATGTGAGGTTGAAGTTAGCGGCGAATCTAGTGTAATTCGACGCGCTAAAGTCACGCATGTTGACAGCGGCTTGGCATAATAATGCGGGAATATTGAGGAAACCGTGCTCTCCTAGTACCCAACTACTAAATAGGGTCGGGCAGTATGTCGGCCCGGATCAGGAACTATAAAAGGCCTAGTTTTATGCGGCTGGGAAGACGAGACGCTGCACGATGGGCATCCCGAACTAGGAATATACGACACCTATAGAGATAGTAAACTAACACTGGCGTTAGGAACAACTTAGCGTATACGTACCTTGGAAAACGAAGCCGTCTACGCACCGTAGAACGCCGCTGACGACGCGACAACAACGCCCAACTCGCCTTCCGAACGGGTAGCAGCATTCCGCAGCCCCCGGGCCTAGAGCACTATACAGCTCCTACGGAGCAGAGTAGCGCAATCCTTTGAAGCCCGTGTTTTGCCGACAACATGGCCGACAGAGCGGCTCGGCGCGAGTCGCGTGGCACTCAGGGTTCCAGGAGGCGGCCCGCCCTATGGGAGAATACATGGAGATCGACATAACACGGCTGATTAAAAATGAACGGCGAGTTTACACTTTTCAAAACTAGTCTGTCGTGAAGTTAATAAAGCAATAAACACTTTATCAAACTCTCAATAATATCGGATGCGTGCGTAAATTTTGAGAAGGCAATTTCCAAGGCAATGGCGTTTGAAGCAGACGATTTTTGCTCGCAGCGGAGATGGGCTTTTCGGGTTGGCCGGAGCGGGTCACGTGACTGGTGTGACGTCGCCGTGTCGTCTGCTGCATGATGCCGCTCAGGCAATTTTTTAAAAAAAGTCAGGTCCTTGCGGGGCACAAAACTTAGCGCGAATTATTCTAAAGTGTTCCATTATTATGTCAAAAACGATTGCGATTCCGTATATTCCCACAACACTGAAGAAACAACGATTTTCTCACGTTCTCCATGCATTTCTGACCGCAGTTGGAACATCCGGGCATTCGCCGCTAGCCGCCGAGAGGCGGCGTTCTAGATTGCGCTACTCTGCTCCGAAGGAGCTACATAGACGCTTTGTAGCAGCTGTGCATGGGCACCGCCATCACTGACCTTCAGTTTTTGTTTCCCCATATTACGTTCACTTCACTTCATTATTACCATAGCAGGCCAGGTTATTGCCATCTTAGATTTTATTCGGTCTTTCTCCCCAGCATTGGCTTTTGTGGAGGCTCGTCCACACCAATTTCAGTGGCTGGGTATCTCGGTAAAACAAGAGAAGGTCAGCAATGGCGGCTGTATTCTGGCGCGTGTGTAAAGCGTCTATAGTGCTCTACCAGCTCTACCCGGGCCCACGCCGGCCGGCAGCGGCTTGCGCATGCGCGGGAGAGAGATGTCTTCCTTCGCGCGGCGTAACTCGGCTCACGGGCGCTGTACTTCCGCGGTCTGATTGAGTTCCATAAAAATTCCTGGATATCCGGCACTTTTGGGCGCGTTCAATTCGCTTATACCAGTTGAACAGACTATAAACTGTAATCTTGTAAGGCTTTTTTTATTGATACGGATAAGCTCATACTTATTGCTTAAATAGCACATTTCAATGCATATGGTACAGTTCCCGTTCTTGAAAGCAAACAGCACATTATGTGCATTTCCAGAAAACGGGACATGTTCTATTCGGTTTTTCCATGTAGATTGATGGAATTTCCTAACAGTGTAATGGCCTCGTGGCGATGAGGAAAGCAGGTGGAAACGTTTGCCGTTGATCGACGCCCTTGTCACCGCCTGGCCGCTCGAAACGCAAAGGTGGTCCGTAAACCACGTGACCCCGATCGAGCAGTTGAAAACTCTCCGTAATGTAGACTCTCCAGTATGGGTGCAATGCCTTCGCCCTCTCACCTGCATCTCCAGCGCGCCTTGAACTAAGTGTGATAAATACTATCGCTATCGAGAGTAGACCCCGTCTCAACGGCGTACTCCCGGCCCGCAGGTGGCGCCCCCCGGCTGTGGACGGACCAGGCGTACCTCGACGTGCAGACCCGGGGTGACCTGTCGAGCCTGCAGTGGTACGAGAGTCCCCTGCGGTACCGGCCGGCCTCGGACGACCGGGTGCTCTGTAGCGTCTACTACGCGCCCCTCAACTTCCGTGACATCATGCTGGCCACGGGCAAGCTGCCTCCTGACGCCCTCCCCTGTAGGTGCACGTCGCTTACCAAAGATACAGATCGGTTTTAGTCCTTCAGAGGGAGAGGTTTGTCTCCCGCAGTGACGGACATAAAAAGATCCTTTTCGAAATTCAGTTCGGCAACTTTGATCACTATCGACATCCGAGGAATAGGTTGTTACCGTTAACGGCTCTATATTCTTAGGCTCGTCATTTCGCGAATTTCACGCGTTTGCTGCTCCGGCAAGAGTGGCAAGCGGAGTGCCGGGTTTTTTGACTCAGGCTTTTAACGGCTCTGAGAGTTGGATTCGCAAGATGAGAGCTTACTGTCCCACGGAGAAGCTCTAAAGTACCTCCGGTTGTAAATTCGAAATCGCCGGAATATTGCATAACCGGATACACCAAAATGAAACAGAAGAACAAAACAGGAGAACTTTTTGCTTTCAATATTTTCAATCGATGCTTCTAAACCCGTACAGCTCGAATGCACCGTACATGCTACCGCCAGTGAATTCAGAAAACCCTGCGCACCGACCCTTATTTGGATAGCAAAACCCGACCTCTGGAAAGCACCTATTGGGGAAAAAACCGACAGTCAAAAGGTTAAAGAGCAGCTGTCTGGGCTCTGCAAGTTGCGCATTCTCCCGTCCTTCTACCAATTGATGAGAGGGGTCGCTCATTGCATCTCGGGTTGCAGGCGCCCTGGCGTCGTCGGACTGCGTGTTGGGGCTGGAGTTCTCCGGGCGGGACCCCTCGGGGCGCCGGGTGATGGGCTCGGTGGCGGCCGGGGGCATGGCGACCACCGTAGCGGCCGACCCGGACTTCCTGTGGGAGGTGCCGGCGGACTGGAGCCTGGAAGAGGCGGCGACGGTGCCCGTCGCCTACTCGACGGCCTACTACGCCCTGCTGGTGCGGGGCGCCATGCGTCCCGGGGAGGCCCTGCTGGTGCACTCAGGCAGCGAGGGCGTCGGCCAGGCCGCCATCGCCATCGCCCTCTCCATGGGCTGCACCGTCTTCACCACCGTCGGTGGGTGGGACCCTCCTTACTTCAACGCCCCGGGGAGGTCTTAAGACATAACGAGGATAATGAGACCAAAGGAAGAGCAGAAAAAACAACCGCATCTCCACGTGGTGAATGATGTTGATTGGGGCGAAGCTCTGGTGGCGCTTGTCTGCGTTGACGCTCAGCCGCTGCATGCCGAGCCTTTCGTTCGCTTTCATCCATGTCACGCTGCGGTCAGATGCTCAAATGCGTATATAACCACGTTCCATACCACACATTCTCGATGAAAACGAACGAAAGGCTCGGCATGCTGCGGCTCAGCGTCTCCGCAGACAAGCACCACTAGAGCTTCGCTCCAATCAACATCATTCACCACGTGAAGATGCGGTCGTTCTTTTTTTTTTTTTTTTGCCCTACACAAGCACGGGAGCAGGGGAGCACGTGCTCACGTGCTCGTAAGCACGTGAGCGCGTGAGCTCACGAGCAGCAACACGTGCACCCGACGGCGGACGGACATACGGACAAGGCTAGCCCCTAAAGGGGTATCCACACGAAGGAGAAATCCGCCCTTTTCCTCCGCGGATCGTGCATCACGTGAGACATACGTCATCCCTTTTTGACGCCTCGCGGCGCGTTCTCCTCTGTGGCGGAGGCGCGGAGGTTTTGTGCTGACAGCACGAAAGCTCCGCGAGTGCACGCGGCGGAGCCGGGGACGGAGTTTCGAGGGATGTTGACGTCACGACATCCGTCCGCGGAGTTCTCCTTCGTGTGGATACCCCTTAAAGGGGGATCCACACGAAGGAGAAATCCGCCACGTTTCTCCGCGGATCGCGCATCACGTGAGACATACGTCATCCCTTTTTGACGCCTCGCGGCGCGTTCTTTTCCATGGCGGAGGCGCGGAGGCTTTGTGCTGAAAGCACGAAAGCTTCGCAAGTGCACGCGGCGGAGCCGGGGACGGAGTTTCCCGGGATGTTGACGTCACGACATCCGTCCGCGGAGTTCTCCTTCGTGTGGATACCCCTTAAAGGGGTATTCACACGTGGGAGAAATCCCGGGGGTTTCTCCCCGGCACGCGCGGATCACAAGATGAAAACGCGAGGCTTTTGCACATCGCAAAGCCTGACGTTTTCGTCGTGGGATGCGCGTGCCGGGGAGAAATCTCCGGGATTTCTCCCTCGTGTGAAAGAATACGGATGATAAGTTGGGCGTCTTCACTTTGCTGCGACGAGTCGAAGTTCTTCGATTGTTTGTGAACTCGATCTATTTCTAAGCATTGCACGACGCTGGCGCTTTTCTGCGAAGTAAGCTAGAAAAGACTTGGATTGAGACCTTACGGAGGGTGTTTTGCCCGCTAGACGGACCCGTCGAGACCATCTACTAGGACCACCAATGTCCACGTCTATTCCCCGCCATTCTAAAGCGGCCAGAAAAAAAGGTACCTTTAGAATATCATCTTAAATCTATGACCTAAGCGGGCTGCCTGTATTTTAATTTTGTCGAATTTATTTCGAGGAGACTACGAACCATTTACTGTACCACTCACCCTATAGTCCACGCCCGGTATACTGGATCGAAGGGCGTTTTACACACGATTCCACGTTTGTCTACGCCAAGTGTGGGCACTGCACGTGTGCAGAAACCAGATTCGAATGAAGTGAAGTATCTGCGTCTGCACAGCGTCGCCACCGCGGCGGCACGATATCGGAGCCGTGCACTGGTGTAGTCTCAAAAAGCAAATCTCGGTTGAAAGAAAACATTTTGCTTGAATAGTCTTTACCTGGTGCCCAGTCTACGTGTAAAAAAATCTTAAGCAAAGCACATCTTGGCAATTGCCTTTTGCATTAGCTTTCAAAAACAAAAAGCTTGTATTGTACATAAATCACCATTAACATACCCAGACATCAACTAAATACCTATCTCACGTCTTATTGTAATAAGCAATCCAGAAAAAGAAACCTTGTATACTCTTCCTGTAGATACTCTGTACTGCATAAAATTAACTTTTAAAGGTGTATAGTCTATTGGCCATAATATAGCACCTGAGACTGGGGTGCCGAAAAATGAAGAAACTTTAGTTGAAGAAAAAGACAACAGTAGGAGAACGTCTCAAATGCAGCTAAAATCATTCATCTTTTTCCCTCGTTATGTACACCCGGTGCTGATGTCACCGACTTCTTGACGGATACACTTTTACTGGACACAACAACCGAATGACCTTCTAACATCAAGGCATTGATACCAGTACACCCATTCATCTAAACTGTACAACTTTTTTTACAATGGCTATGACTTAACGACAGTTTATTTTACAATTCAAAACAAAATCCACTAAAAAAATTCAGGGCAGACGGCAATACAGAAGCACACCAATCTTGTATACTGAAGATAAAAACCAAATCGGCTCCCTCATAAAAAAAATGATGTAATTTGTTTGTTGTTGTTTATTTCTTCGACCAAAGTTTATTTCTTTTTTCCACCAGTCTCGGGTGTTACATTATGATTAATTATCACCAGATCGCCTACACACTCAGTTCTTTCACTAATGTTTTTCACTTACTAAAGCCCAAGAAATGTGGTACATACTACGAGCCCTTTAATGCCTAAGCACCGGAGGGGGTACGAAAACAAAACCTGTGGGGATAATAGAAGTGCCGATCCCTGGCATCCATACTGCTCACGCTGTCCGCTCGGCGTCGCCTGCAGATTATCAGGAGAAGCGGGAGTTCCTGAAGCGGCGCTTCCCACAACTGCAGGACCGCAACTTTGCAGACTCTTGGGACCTGTCCTTCATAGAGCACATCCTCCGCGAGACCGAGGGCAGGGGTGAGTCGGCGTTTTGTGTTTGCCCCGAGACCTCGGGCCTCAACGGCCCTCCCGATTACCGCGTTTACCGGACGAAAAGACGGTGCGAAAGAAACGGCTAGCTTCGTGAGCTTGTGGAAGTAAGCTAAGGACGCTCTCGTGCACGCCCAGGGGTGGACCTGGTGCTGAACTCACTGGCCGAGGAGAAGCTGCTGTCGAGCGTGCGCTGCCTGGCCACCCACGGCCGCTTCCTGGAGGTCGGCAAGTTCGACCTGTCTCAGAACAACACCGTGGTCATGGCGGTGTTGCTCAACGCCCTGTTCGGGGACGACCCCCGAGTGTCGGCGGACAAGCGCCGTGTGGCCCAGCTGGTGCGCGAGGGCGTCGCCTCGGGCGCCGTGCGGCCCCTGGACGCTGTCCGCTTTGCCCGGGACCGCGTCGAGGAGGCCTTCCGCTTCATGGCCTCCGGCACGCACATGGGCAAGGTGGTGCTCGAGGTGAGTGCCCCACGCCACTCGCCACATCGTTCTGGCCAGTGTTACAGCAGCGCTTTCTTCCTCGTAAAACGTCGCCCAAAGACTGTCTTCAGGTACCTTGTAAGCATAAGTATGAAGCAAAGATACTTGCAACATACTTGAGGCCTTTCTGCGGGTAATTCTGCTGTCCTCCCTGCAGCGAGTGTCTTTTCGCACTCGGTAGCAAGCAGTCAAATTTGTGACTGCTTGCGACCGAGTGCATGATGACCTCTCGCCATATCCTACGACAGGACACGCTGGCGCCATCTATGAGGTAGCCCTGGAGCTAGGTTTTACTAGAGCGAAGGTTACACAGCATTTGCGAACTCAAATGTACATACACTATGTACGTGAAACGGTTGTTTACAACGCTGCCCGATTGCCCTTTGAACAATAGTGAAAGAATGATGTGTAGCAAAAAAAGGGGAAATATATGGCAATCGCGTGTGTTCCACGGCTAGCCGACAGATGGCACCACTGCGCTCTCTCGTCGTTAGAAAGCCTACATTGCAGAGAGGTTCCAACTGCTGGATCGGGGTCATGTGATTTATATTTGCAATACAAGCTGCGAGGAGGTGACAGAAGAGTCGGTCATCTGCGAGCGTCTCTGCCTTTCCACTCGCTTTCCTTATTGCCACTCGAAACCACGGCGCATGCGCAGTTGAGATCAATCTCCGCCGGAGGCGTCCGCCATTGAATTGCAAACGCTCCCCGTGGTTTGAGATGCACCCTCTCCACTTCTAGGTTTTATTCTCGTACTAAGAGATCACGAGGGGTGGTAATGCACTCGGTAGTAAGTAGTGTAAGTGTGTGAACCGACCTTTAGACAGCACAATAGCGCACAGTGCACTAGGCTGCAAGCAAATTTTAGTGTGTGAACCTGCCACCAACTCATGTTTACAAACAAACCGAAGCGCCTCTACCGGACGCCACCGGCGCCGCGCATGCGCAGTTGGGGTGTGGGCAAGAAGCTCGCCGTCGCCCATAAACAAACCATTGAAATGCGATGTTGTCGGCGTCGGTGTGAGTCCCCCTGCCCTTTTTCGCGTTCGAATTGTTGATTCTACGTCCTCTTGGCGATGTCTGACTATCTTGAGCGGCGTCAGCGAAATTACCGAGGCTCGTTACACCGCAAAACTTCGCGTGAATAATGTGACATGCAGCGATTCATTCCGCGTGGACGCCGCAATATGTACGCTAATGCTTGATTCGCACGATGAGATTTCGCTCGCAATTTTCAGTCGCGACGCCGCTCGGGCTGCATAAGCGTGAACCGTAGTTGAGATGGTCGACGTCGATACTGAAAATCGGAAGCAGAATCGGACCAAGTGAATTAGGCATAACAAGTCGGTGATGGTCACTGGTTACAATGATCAACATCTTCATGTATCTGCTGTTTACATCCCCCAGCCTGCTTACCAACCTTCAAATTTAAGTCTTTTGAGGCCTTCACTTACTTCTTATCGCAAGTACCTGGACAACACTTGGTCTACGGGCCGGCATGGTCTAAGAGAGCAGACGACAAGCAGAAACGTTGAAAGAGCAGACAACAGTTTGAACGATCAGAAGGCCGTTTGAACTTGAAGACGCACTGAACGTAATCCGCAGGTGGTCCGCACAACGTGGTGGTTTTCTAGCGTTCATGTTGGAACAAAACAAATAAATCTGATGACCACAAATATCCGTGAATTCAAACCCAAAGTGCTTCCCATCCAAGCAATCGTTGTCCGACGGCGTCTGCTTTTCCCTTTTCACGGCACATATCCAGATCCTCGGACGAACCGAGCACGTGAAAACTGACCTTCAAAACTTTTCTCGACACGTTTGGTACGGCCCCAGTCGCGGCGTTTTGACGAGAAGGCGTGTTTTTGTCTGGTTCCTTTCAAAACCACGCAGGAATCATACTTGGGTAGTAATTCAATTACAGTAATTAAATTACTGTAATTTAATTACTTTTCCTAGTAATTTGTAATTGTAATAATTACTTTTGGCTGAAAGGAATTGTAATTGTAATTTAATTACTTTCTAGCATCAGTAATTGCTAAATTTCAGGCACAATTACAATTACTTTTGCAAGATTTTGCGGCGGTGGCGCTTTTCCCCCCTGGCCACGGCGACGAGAGCACAACCGAAGCAATAAAAGAGAGAGTCTCCCAACCTGCTCAAAAAAAGGGAAAAGGGAGGCTGGGATAGAACGGAATGAAGGATTTTGTAGACTGCAAAACGATTTAATGAAGAATTTCAGAAATAATTTGATAAATGAGGGCTTCATTCGCGTCCGTTTTCGTTCCTGTCGTAGTTGAATCTGACTCTTCGTCTCGTTCGCTTCCTGTTGCTCCTGTTTCTAGGGGTCTTTCTTATTTCTCATTCCCACACGGGGGTATGGGGGTCGAAGTCGAGCTGGTTGGCTCCGATCACATCATCCGGTCGAGGCGGGGAGGTTCGAAGTTTTCCTTACGCGTCTTCGCCGCTAGCATATTCGCTTACATATTTCAGTCAAGTTTGGGGACTTTTTTGTTCATGTAATTATTCTCTTTTCTCTATGAGTTTTCACGTCTTTCTCCTCTATCTCGTATGTTGGTACCACTAACAGAGGGTCGTGCTACTCTAATATCGAGGCGAAGAAGCGCAGTTTAGCAACAACAGTTGGAAGTAAGGCAGGGTGAGTCGTCTTAATTAGACCTGCTGCTTCTTTGCTTCTTCGCCTGACATGACGATCCTAAATTTATTATATATCTCAGGAGCTTTTTTTTTTTTGTTTTTTGGTGTTACCGTGCACTGAATTAACCCAGAATCCCTGGCAAGAGAGTTGCTGCTATTGTGACACTAGTTTTGTGGAAGCGACCGCAGTTCGCGTGCTACGGTTACCCACATCCGACATGTTACAAGTCCACAGACAGGGAGAGGCAGCGAATCACCGAGTTTTATGATACCAGTACTGTCGCATATTTGTTTCCTTGTATTATTTTTAAGTTTATTTTTTGTTGGTTTGACTTGGATACCATTTGCACAAGCTCTAAAGAGATTCACCTCGCACCTGTGAATTTTGTCGCCATTTATTTTTATTTTTTGAGAATATAAGAAATCAGAAGTTCATTACTCCAAACTATTAAGTTCTATAATCCATTTAACAAATTTCATAAAAGAAAAGTACAATGCGTGACATTTATACAGCGGCCATATAACTCGTTTACAGTTATATGGCCCAAGGTGGGTAACTCTCAGAAATAAGTAATTGTAAAGTAATTGCATCACTTTTAAAAAGTAATTTGTAATTGCAATGAACTACTTTCGCGTAGTAGTAATTGTAATTGTAGTTAAACTACTTTGGGGGCTAAGTAATTGTAATTGTAATTAAATTACATTTTGAAAGTAATTTACCCATGTATGGCAGGAATACACGTCTGGCATGGGGACTTCTGCCCACAGTTCCAGACCGGAAGTGCGACCGAAGCGCCACCACCGCGCCGTGACGTAACAGAGATGAGTTCGTGTATAGACTCTATAGGCAGGTTCACACACTAAAATGCTTGCAGCCGAGTGCACTGTGCGCTATTGTGCCGTCTAAAGGTATAGAGTGATTCGGAAGATTGCCATTGTGTTGCGTTTTGATCCGCCCTGGAGCGCCGCCGATTCCTTCGTCGCCCGACTTGTCCCACCACGTTCGGTGGACGGTCGGAGGCACTGCTGACTGCAGCCCAGCAAAGCTCCTCAATGTTTCAAAAGCTCTTTGAGCGTTAAACTTGCCAGTGCACGAGGCCCGTGCCTCGTGCGGCAAAAGAAAAGGGTGGTGCGGCTCTGGCAGGTGGCGGGTTCGAATCCCGGCCGAGGTGCCCGCAATCTGACGGACGCTTATTGCGGAGAAGGCGCCGTGTAACCGAGCTTCCGGTTGCACGTCAAAAGGTCCCCAGGTGGTCGAAATTATCCCTCAGTCCTCCGCTGGGGCGTGCCAGATACCCGTCGTTGGTTTGGCACGTAAAACCCCCAAGTTTGACTTTTGTGCGGCTCTGAAATGAGCCGCCCTTGGAAGCGAATGGCGGCTGAGCACCCGTTATTGGCGCGGATTTTCTTTTTGCCCCAGAACAACCTCGCGGTTTTACGTACTTGAAAGAAACAAGAAGCGTGAATTTTGCCGAGGGGCCTAACGACCCAACGCGTCCTCTCCCAGATGCGGCCCGAGGAACCGCAGCGGCAGACGATGGCGGCCACGCCCCTCTCGGTGGAGGCCCAAGCTCGCACCTACTTCTTCGAGGACAAGAGCTACGTGGTGGCCGGGGGCCTGGGCGGCTTCGGCCTGGAGCTGGCCGACTGGATGGTGGCCCGGGGCTGCCGCAGGCTGCTGCTCACGGCCCGCTCGGGCGTCCGCACGGGCTACCAGCGCCTCTGCCTGCACCGCTGGCAGATGGCCGGCGCCAAGGTGGCCGTGAGCCGGGCGGACGCGGCCACCGAGGAGGGCGCCAGGGCGCTGCTTCAGGAGGCAGCCGCCCTCGGCCCCGTGGGCGGCGTCTTCAACCTCGCCCTGGTGGGTGGCGCCTGGCGGCGACGAACGCGTCTGACTCTTTTTGAAATCCGGTGCCATCTGGTGGCGCGAAAAGCAGTTTCACTTTTTGGCAAACTAATGGCAGTCAAGAAGCTGTATTTTGTCGAGCGCCACCCCGTCCCTTTCGCGCGTCAATGGCAGATGAGAGTAGATCCTTTCCGAAATTTATTGATTTTTTCGGCTCAAAAAGTATTTTCACCTTTGACAACCTAATGGCAGTCACGAAGTTGTATTTTGTCGGGCATCGTCACTTTCGCGTGTCAGTGGCAGACGAGAATTGGTTCTTCGATCGAGGTACTTTTTTTCGATTGACGAGCGCCTTCTGGGGTATCGTTTGCGAACTACAATTGAAGAGCGACCCAACGTCGTCCCAGCGTTCTTCACATCCGTCAGAACACATTCGAATCGTACCACTGTACCGGTTTCTGTTGCCTTTTTTACGCCCCGTGCTACTTATGCTAGAAACGGAACCGTCAACAAAAACGAAATTTACGCAGATGGGTGCCGACAATGTTGGTCATGCTATACAGTGCCCTCTATCAATGGCGGCAACAGAAAGCAAAGTTTAAAGGTGAGAGCGTATGCATGCGCAGAGGCTTACTGGACAGGTGTGACCTTGCGGGAAGAGCATTGCCCAGATCTATTCTGTAGGCCTAATAATTGTCATTTCTTCCTAAGAAACTGGTGTATGTTAATCTTTCGTAAAAAAAGCTCCCCTTTAGAGACTTCAGCCTCTGTTATACTCCGACGTCGAGCGTAGCAAATGCGGCGTACCGCAGCGCACATGGATACTGATTGGTCGGAGATATCGACTTCCTGCTTGCCAGCCAATAAAACGCGCGCGCTCTGCACTACGCTGCGTTCGCTGCACTCAACGTCGGGGTCTAACAGAGCCTTTAAAGGGGGAACGATCGATTCCGAGAGACGCACAACGACAACTTGGGAGACTGTTGTGTCGTAGTTCCGGTTTCTGTATTAAGTCTGTCAACCTTGCACTCTTTGTGTCGCTATATAAGCACGTGTTGATATATTAAAAGCAACTCAACACCAGTTGTTCAACTGCAACCACGTGCTCGTCACTTAGGCCTCGGTCGCTACACCACAGAGACGCACGACGGTGCATTCGCGGTTAATCGCCCCATGTCCTTTCACCCGCTGCGTCTCCTGCAAGGGCGACGGTCGCATCTCCCGCAATACTTGCATTTAGAACTTTGGGTCCGTCACGACACTCTGCTTTGCAAGCGGAACATCTACAGTTACTCTAGTCGCGGGGAAACGCGAATGCGTGAGCCTTTCCCGAGAGGGCGTGTGTGTGGAGCGCAGGTGCTGAGGGACGCCCTACTGGAGAACCAGACGGCGGAGGCGTTCGAGGCGGTGTGCCGTCCCAAGGTGGCCGGCACCCTGCACCTGGATGCGGTGTCCCGGGAGCTGTGTCCCCAGCTGGACCACTTCGTGGCCTTCTCGTCTGTGTCGTGCAGCCGGGGCAACAAGGGCCAGACCAACTACGGCTACGCCAACTCCATCATGGAGCGCGTCTGCGAGACAAGGGTGGCCGACGGACTGCCCGGTGGGTGTCTCTTGCTCCGGTCCACGGGTTCTCGGACTTTGCGATCTTGAGAAACTAGGATTCTGCGTATTCAATTAGCGGTTTCCTTTAATATGTCGTTCCATATTGGCTTCGAGGTGAACCGCAATATTCATACTTATCGAAGTATTGATTGCAGCGGGTTCGCTGGTATTGCTTCGCCGCGGTGCACACGTGCTCGTTGAGAAGTGCCCGCAACTGGGCTAACCCGCCGCGATGAACGCTTCGAAAAGTGCAAATATCGCAGTTCACCTCGAGGCAGATGTCGAATAGCGTGTCATTCGAAACTACTATTAGGAAATTTTAACATTCGCACAACAGTACTTGAATGACAGCTGAAGAACTCCTCCTAAACTCGGCAAAGATGAGATAAAGCAGTTCGAAGCCTACAAATACCCGTAAACAGTAATATCTTCACAGTAAGAAGTGTTTGGCTCATACGTGTGCATCAGTGGGTGGGTCGAATTTTCCGAAGTAGTGCTTAAATTTGCTCAAAACTTTCGCTTAGGTGCAGGAGCAGTCAGGGAAATGGTTTGGGGAACCCATGAGGGTACTCTGGGAAGCCCCTGAGCTCCTAGGAACCTCTAAGCTCTAGGACATGGTGTAAGATACTCTTCTGTGCATCTATCGAAGATACCACGCTGTGCTCGCAATCTTCTCAAAATTCGAGCTCGTCTAATCGTCTCCTTCGTTAACACTTTTACTGTGTACCACTGCCCCACAGATGGACACGTCGCTCGTCACAACGATGGCCGGAACAGCCGCAATCGTATCAAATACTTCTTTCCTGGCACGAGATACTTGAAAAGCATTATGTTATTGTTTTAATGTAAATTTCATCGTGCTACACTTATTCAGCGAAATCTCACGGACGAAAGTCCCAGCCATGGTTTAAGGTACTACTCTTTAGGTGAGGACACGCAGCACGGTGAATGCATCGACGCGATCGACTGCATAAAGTCTTGTTGGCATGTGCCTGAGTAGTCTATGCCAACAGCGTCACCGCTGGTCTGACGGTGCAACTAAGTAAAAGGACACATGGAAACTAAGAAATTGGGGCTCTAATCCACGCCGTGAAGATGGTTGGCCAGCGAAGCTCTGGTATCTCCTGCAAGGATTGCCTCCTGCACTACACCAAATGCCGCCGCTGGTTGTATTGCCGTTTCATTTCCCTTTGCCGCTCCTCGAATTCGCGCTGCTCCTGGGGAGACCTAACTATGCGTGGCATACCCGGGAACGCGACAAAATAGCACGCGACAAACAAGCATGCGTCAGAACAGCACGGTCATGACAGCACGCATCAAAACAGCACGCGTCAAGACAGCACGCGTCAAGACAGCTTGCGTCAAAATAGCACAGCATCAAAACAACACGGCGACAAAACAGCACGACGACAAAACAGCACGGCAACAAACAGCACGGCAACAAAACAGCACAGCGTCAAAATGGCACAGCTACAGGTGATCGACCAGACTACCCGTAACGGTTCATTACCTGTTTTAACGCCGTGCCAAACAGCATGGCGTTAAAACAGCACAGCGACAAAACAGCACGCCTCAATATTGTTGCAGTACAGCATGGGCTGAGCACACCGCTGCCACACGGGCTTTCTGTCTCTTTCTTTTAACAACTAACGACAGCACACATTCATTTATTGTAGACGACATCACCAGCATACGTGCGCGTCAAAAGTATCAGAACCAGGGTGTCGAACCGGAACCGAACCGAACCGAAAACCGGAACAGAACCGTTATTTTTAGCCGAACCGGAACTGAACCGAACCGAAATCTTCGCCGCCATCTTGGAACTGAACCGGAACGGAACCGGAAAAAAATATGACGGTAACCGGTTCAAAACGGTTCACGGTAATTTTTTTTTGTTAGTATTACAAATTTATTATTTGGGAATAAAAAATTGGCACGTTAATTCCTCTAAGTATTGATCAAATCGTCATATACAGAATTCCAATGTATAATAAATCCTGGTTTTTTGCGGCGCTTTCTTATCGGCACTATGAATAGCCATGTGTCACATCGTCACGTGACGTCATAATGTCAAGACATGCTGTCAAGTAATGTCACATCACGTGACCCCGTGACGTCACGTGACTGACCGCGTAAAGTCGATTCAAACTGAGGACGTCGCTAGATCTATTAACGTTGTTGATACCGTGACGTCACATGACATCACAACTTCGCACTGAGAGTCCCATGACACCATGATGTACCCGATTGTCATGATCCCGAGTCAAATGCTCTGGTTCATGACAACCAGTATCGCCAAACATTCGGGTAACGGCTCGTGTTCAACTCAAAAATTACGATGGGCCCGAGTCCCACTAGAGCTAGAAGCAGAAGCAAACGAAAGCGACAAGCCTCAGACACATGCAGCATGTTCGCGATGGTACCTTTATACGGCTTTGAGTTGTTCGGTGCTCGCGAAGTTAGCAGGAGTGTTTACAAGCCTGCAAATGGTACCATCGTGTGCATGATACTCGTGTTTAAGCATAGCCTTCTTTATTCTACAAAGCCTGTCAAATCGCGAAATACTCTGGTTTAAGGCTAGCCGCTGTCGTTTGTTTCTGTTTGTCGCTTTAGTGGGGCTCGGGCCCCATTATAGCCCAACTAAAACTATATCTGAAGATTAGCCCATGCTTCGCTTTGCCAACCCTGCTTATGACTATGATAAACACTGACGCTGCATATATTAGGATCAGATCACGTGGCTGATAGTTCTAATTGCGAGTTGAGGAGGGGAAAGCTGTTTCATTTCTATCTTTCGACTGTCTCTCATTTCTCGGAGGAACAAACTAATGGATGCTTTTGCAAGTTATCAACGTCAGGGATTACAACTTGGCGGTATTTATTGAACTGAAGGTAAACAAAATGCTGCACGGCCCATTTTAGATGTATGCACACCATTGAGGCTCCCAAACATGTTTTCGTTATTGCTGAACTGCCTCAGAAAGTTGTACCGAGAATAGAAGTGTTAAAGGGTCTAAATGTGACGTATTAGTCTGACGTTACATGGAACTATTAGTGTGTACGTGAGGGATAGCTGAAAAGAAAGATCCTAGTGGTCTCACGGGGATAGCCAAACGTTGGCAGCCGCTCTAAGTCTCACAGGAGTGTCGTTCTCAAGTTCTCCAAGTTTCGACCGCCCTGTATTTTGTTTAACCTTCACAGTTTGGTGCAAAGTAAAAGCAAGGAAGAATTACTGTTAACGAGTGACACAAATATAATTGTCGAGTGAACACCACTCAATACGGAGCAGGCAATCCCTGAGGAATAAAAAGTATCTTGAGGAGCAACTAAAAAAAAGGGAGTGGGGAGGGGGGTAGTTTTAAAGCATACTGTGTCGTAAAGATTCCTCTACCGCGCACTTTCGGCGCAGACTAGAAAGCGTGGCCTGGAAACGATAGTGACAGATGGGTAGTTGGTACAACTTTTATTTGTAAAAACACTCTTGCCAGAAAGAACGTTTTCGCCGCGCCAGATACTCGCGCCGTGTCTAACGACGATGCACCAACAAGAAAAATGTGTGCCTCTCAAATACATAGCTTGCACTGAGCGCGAAAATTTTGCAGCGTGCATTTTGCCCCATCGGATTTTATATTCTCAGCAAGAACAACTCGCAATGACAATTAGTATCTAGTGCGATTACGTCACGTGCAAACCGTGTTAAATACTTAAGCTTTCTGGTGAAGTGCGACGTTCGCAACACTAGCAGTAGACGTCCAAGATGTAAAGTTGTGTAGTATTTATAGCAGTCTCGCGATGATATACGGCAGCCTAATGAAATGTTGCAGCACATGACTGATAAAGAACAGAGTCGTGAAGTAAGGTCCCAAAACAAGTGCACGTAAAACCTAAGATAACATTAGTATACTTCGTTTCAGCTTCGGTCCGAGCGCGGCCGATGTTATAAGCCGAAGGGCCGATCAAAAAGCGAAACAAGCACAACGTCATGGCGTGCTTTCTGCAGTTGATAGGACCAGCCGATATTCGCCGTGTCTCTGTGCGCGTTCCTCCACCGGCTAGTCCTATCAGGCACAAAGAGCACGCCATGACGCTCGCTTTTTTGCGCTGTTTGATTGGCCCTTCGGCTCATAACATCGGCCGCGCTCGGACCGAAGCTGAAACGAAGTATAGTATCTCGCGACGTTTCGAGCTGAGGCAAGCTGATGCCCAAAAGTGACTTATATTAGGATTCTAAAAATCTTCATTTGCCCTGCGAGGAATCTATGTTTAATTAGGAATATCATTTTATGCATTTCTATGCATCTCTTTTTGCAGTAAAGCGTTGTGTAAGGGATTATTTAGAAAAAATTGCGTGTCATCTCCTTATTTCTGCACATTTCGTGTATTTGCCTTGCGATATATCATGTGACCACAGTGTTTTTTGGCATACCCTGCAACCCAGTATTTTACACTGCAAAACAGCTAAAAAAAGCACGTTGCCGAAGTCTCAACAGCTGGCGTATTTTCGAGTATCGTCCTTCCGTGTCGGTCTCAGGCGGTTATGTGAACTTCATAAAGTCAAATTTATCGATGATAATACAAATATACTTAATTCCTGTCTGAAGATTTGGCAGCATAACTAGAAGATCCTCACCTCAAAGATATATATGTAAATGCACTTTTAAATTATCTGAAACATGTTCTGCAAATCTTTTTCGGCGCTTTTATCCTCTATAGACACGTTATAGGTGATTTGGAAAAGCTTTAAATAATGTTGTTGTTTTTTTTATTTTGAAGCTAATTCAAATAACTATATGTGTTCCTCACGCATATATAACTTCTCAAATATATAGAAGTTTATTATTGCGTTTTTTATGTGTTTTTATTATCGCCTTTTTTTACTGGAACGAATGATGGAACTATGACGATTGCACACTTAAACTCTCAGAAAGTGTCCAATTAAGTAGCTTCCGAATTGAGTAGAGCATGAAATCCCACTTTGTTCTATTTGACAAAAATCAT